CTAGTTCACAAGTTTATGTTTAAGCCAAGTCTGGGATTGGTATGCATTTTTGCCAAGATAAGAAGGAAAATGTTATTAACTGTTGGGTGGCAGGGTCCCAGTTCAACTCACCAAAGCCTATTCATGGCTTACCTAGAACACATCTGAGCTAAAATGTTAATGAGACAATAGGAGCTGACTATCACTTTAAAAAGTATTTCTTTAAGAAAGATTCACCTGTACCTCTTTCCATACACTCTGGCAATAAATCTTTGGCAATAAGAAGCCACCTGCCCCTCTGACCCTGGACTGGATCCCCTGAAGACAGCACTATGGGCAGCAGCCAGGGGGAGAGAGGCACAGGTTGTCTGAGCGAATGGAGAACTGGAATGTCTGATTACCCAGACTTGAGATGGAAAACAGGGGCTCTGTCACTCCCTCCAGCTGTCAGATATAGGGATTCTAAGCTTCATTCCCCAATCCATGGCAGAGATTTGGGAGGAAAGGGGTCAATGGGGTTGTAGCTGCAGTTTTTAGACTATCCTGATCATTTCAAGTGTTCATAAGTGGGAAATACTTGCCCAAAAAGATGATATTTCCAGGCTACCATCAGTAGCTACTCATTTCCAGGACTGGTCAATGAAATGCTAATGTCATAACATAATTTAGACTGTTCTTTGGAGCTTACGTGACTGGCTGCATCTGTAGAATTCTTTACAGGTATTTGCTTTGTTGTAATTCACTGCCACTGGAACTGTCTACACCAAATGGTGAGAATACTTCCCCACCTCACAATGCTCTTCCATCGGCCAGCTTACACAGAGACGCTGTGCCACAAAACAGCTTTCGCAGGAAGTAAACCACCTTAGACCCTGTACGGATGTACGTGTAAATACTTGTGTTAAAAGGAGGCAGTTGTTTGAAGAACCATGGTTTGACCCAGGATATGGTTCCTCCAACAGATTTCAAGCCCCACTCTGGGAATAGAGATGATAAGAAAATACACTTGGGACTTGGAGTCTGATGGACTAAACTCAAATCCTGAAGTCACCGCTGAACTGTTAAGTTCACCAAGGCTCAGTTTCCTCACGAGTTAAAAGGAAGCTAATAATACCTACTTCACAAGTTATTGTGGGGGTTGTGTGAAATGACACATGTAATGCAGGGGTACAGCATCTGGACCTTACCTCCCACAGACAATACATGTTAATACATGTTAGTTCACCCACCCCACCCTGCCCCATCCAAATTCTATCCCAACTTGGCTATCAATTATCTGAGAAACCATGGACAATTCATTCAATCTCTCCAGTCTCAGTTTCCACTTCTATCAGATTAGGAAGTGGGACTCCATGGCCTACAAGGTCTCTTCCTGTCCTAACATTCTGTCTGGTTAGTGTCACTGTTATAAGGGAGGCTCATTTTTATACATTTTGGTGTTCTCTCTTTACACTCTGGATCTCTCTTTAAATGCCCAGGGCCAGCTCCTTTTAACTTCTGCTTTTGGGATTCTATGACACTAGCTCTGTTGGTTTCCTCTACTCTACTAGTTGAAAGTTGTATATAGGCCAGGGGTTGTTCTAAGAACAGCATGAGCTTTTTCACAGAGCACATCCTCACAAGCACCGTAAGGTGTATTATCATTATGATGCCCATTTTAGAAATGAGCAAATCAAGGCTCGAGAGTTTATGCAACTTATCAAAGGCAGTGAATTCAAAACTGGCTGGGTCTTCCCAGTTGCTCATAATCATTACATGTTATACTCCCGTTCCATCCTGTAATGATATCTGGTTTGAGTTCAATGTTCTTATGACCTAAGATGAAGCTGTGCTCGATTATCTGATAAATTACCCATATTAATAACTTTACCTGTTACACCTGCTAGGTGACATACATACAGATTAACCAGGGACCATAATCTCTGAACCAACAGAGAACTCATGATGGGAATCCCAGGCCTTGCAGCTGCTAGGTCAAGGGTGAGATTTAAGATGGGCAGAGCTTAAACACATCTTTCAAATATGTGCAATATTAGCACATAGTCAAACAGCTACTCAACTTCCACAGGAAGCTGCTGGAAGCTACAGCACTTCCTAGTGCAAGCTTCAAATCTGCATGCTTCTAGATGCCACAAGCCCTGTTATAATACCACAGAATGACAAAGGAAAAGGGCTCACACTTGGGATCAGACAGCCCCAATTCTACTAGCTGAGTGAACCTGGGTGGATACTCAGCCACTATGAGCTTCCTACATACTAAATGACCTTGGGTAAAATGGGGATAACATTAGCAACTTCAGAAGGATGTTACAGGTATAGAGGGAGTGCCTGGCCTGTAGTAGAAACAAATTAGCTCAGACACAGAATAAAGGAGCTTGGGGGACAGTCAGATTGTTTTCAATAATCAAGGTAGTCTACACTAGAGTCGAAAGGTAGAAATCAGAGATTCACTGGACTCTAAATGCCTACCAAATCTGTGAGACCCATGCCCCACTGACAGTTGGATGCCCTATTATGGCAAAAGCCCTAAAGCTCTAGATTGATCTGACCTCTGACTCCACTCTGCCAGGCCACCTGGCAGCTGCTGCTAGAAGCACCCTTTCAGAAAGGGTCCTGATTGAGCCAAGTGGTAGAGTGTTATCACACACCATCTCTTACCCTCTGAGCACCATGAGGTTGCCTGGGTAACAGTGAGCTATTCTTGGCCTTCTCTATGGGATCCCAACTCCTCTAACTATATCCCAGGGCTCCCTTCCGTCGTCTCACATTCTGCACCCCATGCTGAAACCTCTTCCTCCTGCCTCACCAGATCATAGGGGAAATGAGAAGAGAAGGAACTGACCATGCAGCTGTGCCTTGGCATTTTATTTCCTTATCATTGTATTTCCTTAGTTACGGCACATTTCCATTTATGGAGTACTTTCCCTTATAAAATCTCCCAGTGTTTACTTCTAATCTACTAAATAATTCCTCTGGCCTCTTCTTGTTTTTACCCTTTAAATATATGTTGATGGTTCATTCGGCACATTCCCCATTCAGTTATTAATGGCCCACAAAAACTTACTAGCAGCAATCATTTACTGATTAATCTACACAACAATCCAGAAAGACAGGTAGTATTAATCCTTCACCCTGCAGAGGGAAACCAAGGGGAAAAGGGAGGTTAACTCAGTTGCCCAAGGTCAGTGGCTAAACAAGATTATAACCAGCCCTAACCTGTCCTCCATTTCTATAAACACTTCTCACAGTGCTGTTGTCTTCCTTTAAAAATCAACATTGTCAACGCAGCTTGATAATTTCTGTGTTGAAATTCCATTGACACAGACTAGTTTAAAATTGTCAAAATTTACCCAACAAGAATTTTTAACTGCTAATAGTTCATGGATAAAAGTTGCTAAAATAAAGAGATTATTGTAGAGGAAAAAAAAAGCAGAAGCGAAGATCTGGATTTAGAACCAACTCTGCCACTATGAAACTGAAAAAATCTCTACATCTTTGTGTCATCTGTAAAAACGAGATTATGCTAAATAATATTTAAAATATCTTACCATTTTAAATAACATGATTAAGTACCTACTAAAATAACACAAAATATAAATGCTCCAACATCCAATGCTGCCAAGACCATGGTAAAACTGGTATCTATACATTCGTTCACTGCTAGTGAAACACACAGCTACAGTGCCCTTGGAAAGCAAGAGGCCGACATGCAGCAAAACCATAAAGAATTGCGTATCCTTTGACTTAGCAACTTAAGTATAGTATTTTTCCCTAAGAAATAAATCAACAGGAACAAAACAACATACACAAACAAAAATGCACATTTCAGTGCTAGCTACCAGAGGAAAAATTGATATCAGTTTAAATGGTCATTTTTAGAGAGATGTCTTATTAAAGAAAAGCATAGCCAACCATACGAATGCCATGCTGCTATTAAAAAGAATAAGTATGAAAACTATGCAAAAACATTTTAAGTCTTACCAATAAATACTATTAAATGAAAACAGCCAAAAGTCAAAGAGCAGACATGTACTCAGATGTCAACCATATAAAACGTGAATAGATGAGCAAAGTCACATGAAAAATCAAAATAATTATGTTATTAGTTAAGTTTATTGCTTATAATTCTAAAATATCATCTTTCCGTTAACACATACATCTTATCATTTAATCAAAAATTTAAAAAATTTTCCAACCCTGCTGTAGTTTGATGGAAAACAAAATTGTAAAGTTTTTGCCTAAATCTCCCAAGTTATTTTTGTTGGCTGACATATTATCAATGATGCTATGCTCCCAGAGTGATGTCTGCTCTTTACTACCTAATTCTTTTGTCTTTAGAGATTCTAAAATCTCAGAACATTTGCACTTCTTTCCCTCTGCTAAGAGGAACCAGGATCCAACATTTTGCAGTAATTCTGACCTGTGGGTGCCTCCATAATACCCAGAATATTGCTATTATCCTTTTTACAGGACACAGGGCAATTTCATATCTTAAGTTTTTACTTTACAGTAATACATCTCATGTTTTCAGGGGTCTTTTCACTTAGGAAATCTGCTCCCAAGCAGCACTGTGCTATAGGAACTTCGTGTCATATAAGGACTTTTATATCCCCCTTCATTTCTTAGAAATGTTCTCTTACTAGTAGGTCATTTGTATATCTTTGCTTATAATATCAGGGAAAGATTGCAGAGCCAATGAATTAAAAATATGATTCTAGGTCTCCTGTGTGCCAATGAATGCCCTCATTAAAGCAGAATGACTGAGATGAGATCGGTTTCAAAGCTTTCCATCCCTTTGCCCCAGAGCCGCCAAGGCCAGGCACTGAAAGGATGCACAGTAAAATTAAATATCTAAAAATTCATCTTTAATTAACAGAATTGGATTAAAGCTAGACACCACCGCATATCATACCAGAAATGGCTGAGCTGGCTTCCAAGTGCTCTAATTCAATTAGGACGCAGTGAGTGACACTCGGACGGGAAAGGTTAATTGGGGCCGCCAGAACGCAATCATTCCTTACCTAACCAGTCATTAAACTTCTTAACCTCTGAGGGCAGTCCCAGCTCGGTGAAATCGCCTGTGTGGAGAAGGATGTCCCCATAAGGCATCTGGATACCATCTGTTCTGGAGTGTGTGTCTGAGATGCAGACAAACCGCGTGTGGCCCGCTGGTTTTGGAGTGTCATATGGGATGGGGTCGACCCTAAAGTAGACATAACAGATCCCATAACAGTTAAACATATTAGAACCCTTGAAATTGTCATCGCACATACATATTTATTATTATTCGTGAATGCACCCAGACAAACTGATGCAAAGGCAGAAGGGCCCATTGTAATTAAGGACACTTCTGGGTGTAAAGGCGATAGCATCACCCATCTACAAACCCACTGGGCAAATTCAAAAAGACTTACTTACCTGGTAGGAAAATTAAAAGGAAAGAATATCTTACATATAGATTTGAAATAACCCAGGAAACCGATAGAGTGATTAATGGTGAAGTTTAGGGATATTGAACCTCAACTGGGAAAGCAAAATTATGCTATTTCTCTCTCATCATGCTCCAATTGATCCCACTACTCATTAGGAAACGGATAACTAATTTATTCCTTCTTAAACATGCATAACTTAAGCAATGAACTAATTTACGGAGAGCAGTCTGCACATGCTCTGCCAACTGAGATGTGGAGAGATAGCACTTATATTTAATTTCCTTTCCACAACCATTCAACACCTGTATCTTCTCGTTTTTGCTATGCACAAATCAAACTGTAGGGAGGGAAGGTGATGCCAAAATAACAGGGCTTTAAAAAATTTAAAAAAACAAACAGACACTGGATGTTAAAAGAACTTTGTCAAACTCGTTTTTACTGCGATGAATTATCTGCAGTCCCAGTTACACCTGAGGTTACTAGGAATGCTCAGCTGTCTTGGGCAAAGATTCTACTCAGTACAAATACTAAGCCTTTTAATGAGATGTATATAGCTACATATGCATTAATATATGTATAGTTTTAGAGACCTAAGCACTGTGAAATTACACCAGGGCATAAGAATCAGAAGGCAAAATGATCAACCCAAAGCAAAGAAAATGAAACAGAACATTCTCATTTAATTGAGTGTAACAAAGTGTACTAAATAAACTTGGTAAAGGAATGCAAATCTGACTCTTCAAGCATACAGTTTTAATTATTTAAGGGGTTTGTCGCAGAGTTAAGGATGCTTTAACCATATTAACTCTACAGTGACAGCTTCCTTTAATTTCTCTGTAGGAATGTACACTTACTTTTGGATTATGGGTGAAAAGAAGCAGTTATAAATGCAAAGAGAAGGTCACAAGAGAAGCAAATATGCAGTGCAGAGATTAGAGTGTGAAACATTAAATAAGGAACAATATTTCATATGCCAGCCCCAACCCTTGATAGTTAACATGCAGCAGAGAACACACTGAAAGCTCCACACAAGACTCCCTAAACATATTGCCTCTACAGGCTTTGCTTAATTTGTTTTCTCTTTTCCTTTATTTATTTATTTTTTTAAAGAAACAATCTGTTTTAACAATGACAATTTCAGTGAGGGAAACAGAAGAGACCAGCGTGCAACCTAGATAGTCTCACATTTCTTCAATGACTAAACTTTTTATTTCCTCTTATCTTTGTCAGAGAAGAAAGAAAGCAAGAGGAGCAAGAAGAAGGAAGGGCAGAAAGGAGGAGAGGAGGCAGGAAGGAACTGTGAACTGATTATCACAGTGGGGATAATTGGAAGCCCAAAAAGAAAGTTTAACTTCTGCAAAAAATTAATGGATTTTTCCTGTTAGCAAGGTTAGAAATTAATATGCTATTACCACATAGAAAATTCACGAATCCACTGTGATCTCATTAGTAACCTGGAAACCCTTCTCATTATAGCCGATGTTGCTTTTTTAGAAGTAAAAATGTTTGATGTCTTCCTTTCCATCACTGAGACTTAGTTATACTCAGTCTCGGTGCTTACAATCTTGGCAACATTTCCTGTCTTCCAAAAGTAGTTTTCCCAGAGAACGAATGACTGTTCCCCGCTGGGGCTGACTGTGTCTCTCTCTAAAAGTGGTAAGTAATATTCTTATCCCAATAGTTAAATGCTCACTAGAATGGGACTGTTTGCATTTATACTTAATGCACCAACATTTGAATGAAAATTTAATAAATCAGTCACTGTATCTCTAAATATATGAATAAATGTAATATCTACCTACTCTAGTGTTTGTTTTCTAGCTTTCATCATAATACTAACATATAGACACAGACCCATTTCTTCTTTTCTGTAACTCAGCTAAGCTACAGACCCAGCTACTGCATCAAAATCCTTTGGGAGGCCATCTCAGCTTATCAGAGAGACATCATTGTCATTATTTTGAAATAGACTGAAAGTAGCACAGATGTAAACCTCCTGTTGTAAATAGGTCCCTGTTCTACGAATCTACCCACTTTAGAGTAGCCAATCATCACATGGTACATAATTGGTTCCCCATCTTGCCTCCATACTGGGCAATAAATTTTCTGACATTATGGGGAACACTAGGCAATTTCTGAATCGCTTCAACTTCTTTCTCCACCTCCCACCTCCTTCAGAGAAACATTTAAACATCAAAGGCCAAGGAACAGTAGAGTAGAGGGGACAGTAAAAAGGGGAAAAGTGTTTCTTCTCAGCTTTGAGTTGAAACAGTGTTTCTTCTCAGTTTTGAGTCCAAAGTAGACAGCAAGGTAAGCAAAGAAGGCTCGCACATCTACACCACCACCATGATGCCATCAAAGAGAAACAATTTGTAGACATTAGGGAGAATGCACAGAAGACTGATTCAAGGCAGGGATGGGGGAAGTGAGACGTATAAAGACGCAGACTTTATGTAGCTATCCTGACCCAGAGGCACTGAGAATCTTTGTTATCCATAGGACTAAGTACAAAGTAAGAGATGGTTTCAGGAGACAAGGCAGTGCAACACGCCAAAGTCACTCTGCTAGGTGGTACGACAAATATCACCTGGAGCTCATAGGAAGAAGACATGTCCACCCACAGGCATTCAGAGTTGAAAATAAGACCTCTAGTAGAGTGGGCAAATTCCAGTGGAGATAATTAAAACTGAGACCACCCTCAGGAAGCTACTCCTCCCAAATTGGGGATTTGATAACACCTCAAAAAGTTAAGACAGCCAAACATTTTCACTATAAAAGTACATCTGAGGGAGACCCTGACTGCTATTGGAAGATCCTGTCTGTTCACATTGTGTGAAGGCCCTCACACTTTATTTTCATCCTTAGTTTACAACTTTACCACTTAGTGTTTATGCTGCTGAGTTCTCAAATGACCTAATATTTCCCCTAAGGCATCATGTCAAATATCCTAGCAAGCGAGTATCTTACCAAGGCAATCTAAACCCCAGAGCCAGATTCAAATATTAGAGTGATATTTGCACATATGTTTGAGTACACCTGGGGGACAACAAGGTGACATGGGAAGATGAGAAAAAAACACAGCAGCATAAATCCCAGAGCAGGACAAAATCTTATGGGGCATGTGGTTCAATGTTTTACATGACGCCTGAATCTCCTCTATCCCTTCCCTCTAGATGACATAATGTTTTCTGTTTATTTGTTTTGTTGGTTGTGTGTTCGTTGTTTGTTTGTTTTGAGACAGGATCTCGCTGTATCACCTAGGCTGGAGTGCAGTGGTGCAATCATAGCCTACTGCAGCCTCCACCTCCCAGGCTCAAGCCATCCTCCCACTACAGTTTCCAGAGTAGCTGCGATTATGGGCATAGGCAACCACTCCCAGCTTATTTTTCTTGTTATTAGTAGTAGTACAGATGAGGTCTTGTTATATTTCCTGGGCTAGTCTTGAACTCCTGGGTTCAAGTAATCTTCCCACCTCAGCCTCCCAAAGTGCGGAGATTACAGGTACGAGCCACCCCACCTGGCCTCAATTTTCATTCTGAGGTTTCCAGAGAAGGAGAGCTCCGTCCTCCCCCTGTGCAATCCAACCTAGTTTTTGATAGCTTTACTTGTTAGAAAGTTTCTGTTTCAGATTCTATACCTCTGAGAAAGCTGAGCATGGTCCAAAGACCTTGGCCTGGAACCTGAAGACTGAGTAACAATTTTAGCTCAGTCATTGGCTTTGGGCAACTTCCTTGATTTCTTTAAGCTTCACTTTTTTCATCTGTAAAATGGGAATAATAATGCCTAATTTTCTATGTTGCTATGAGGATACAAACTATCAAGTACAGCATTTGACACACAACAAATGCTCCAAAAATAGAGTAGCAGAATAGTGTAAGGGTGAAAGATGTTTGGCTGCAGAGCCAGACTGCCTGGCTCTGAAATCCACTCCACAACTTATTAACATACAACACCAAGCAAATGGCTCAACCCTTGTGCCTTGATTCCCTCATCAGTAAAACGGATATAAATATAGTACATATCTCCTAAGACTGTTACGAGAATAAAATACTCAAAGCATTTAGAATGTGTCTGACATGAAGTAGATACCCAATAAATGTTAGTATTTTTTTTTTTACTAGTAACTAATAGTATTTTTACTGCTATTAGTAGTAGTATCATTTAACTTCCCTGATCCCCATCTCTTTATCTGTTATAGGGAGATAATAACATCTACCACTCAGGGACTTTGTGAGAATTAAAAGAAATCACATACACAACATCCAGCATATACTGGGAGTAGAATCTATGGTCTTTAATATATTTGTTTCCTGCCTGTCCCTCCTTCTTAATCCTAGTTCTGCACTCTGAAATAACAAGAAAATAAGAACCCAATCCCTTTTCCACTGGACAGTTCTTCAGCTATTTGCAAACAATCTATTATAATCCCCTGAAATCATCTCCACTCTAGTTGAGTAGCTACAGTTTCTTCCATTTTTCCTGATGTCTAATGTCCTCAGAATTTAGGTGATTTCCTCCCAGATACAATTTCATTGGGGAGAATCCCTCCCTTTGTAGTGTCAGAATTCATGGTCTGTGTGAATTCATGGACCAATGAGCTGTTCATCAAAGACAGATGCTAGTCCAGGCCATGGGGAGGTGGCAGTGCTGAACAAACTGGCAGATTTTTCTAGAGGAGGCCTGAGCTATCATCTTAAACCATTTTCCAATTAACTCTCCAAGTTTTGTGCCAAGCCTCAAATCTTGTTCTTGAAGCTTGATCATCAAATGCTTACATATCTCACTGCATATTCAAACAAATAAACCATTCTTGTTTGTTCAGTCTTGACGTATTAGGGTTTTTTTACACACAAAAAAGTATGATAATATTATGGTTTCCATTCTGATTCCTCTTCCGGGCATATTTGTTATTTTTTTCCAATAACATATGAATACAGTATTGCAAACCTCATTGGTAGATCTTCAGAAAAGCTGTCATGTGGTTTGCTGTGAGATGGATTTCTTCTATAGATCATCTGTGCAGTATAACCTGTGTGTATACAATCAACCTATAATTCAGTGAGAGAATAGAACTGTGTCCTTACAAAGCATTTTAAAGGGATTTAAACAGGTTTAGTAACCCACATTCCACTTTAAAACCCTGATGCTGTGCTTATTGATTCCACAGACTTATTTTTTTTTTTTTTTCAAGATGGAGTCTCGCTCTATTGCCCAAACTCAAGTACAGTGGCATAATCTCACCTCACTGCAACCTCCGCCTCCCGGGTTCAAGCAATTCTCCTGCCTCAGCCTCTCAAGTAACTAGGACTACAGGCATGTGCCACCACGCCTGGCTAATTTTGGTATTTTTATAGAGACAAAGTTTCACCCATGTTAGCCAGGGTGGTCTCGAACTCCTGACCTCAGGGGATCCACCTGCCTTGGCCTCCCAAAGTGTTAGGATTACAGGCGTGAGCCACAGTGCCCAGCCCACTGACTTTATCTCTAAAATGTTTCCAATGTGATATCAAGGCTTTCCTTTTTACCCAGAAAATTTAGATAGCATGAATGCTAAACTTATATTTGTGACGTTCTATCATCCGACCTGGACATACTATTTGATAAAGACAGGTAAAACCTGCCAGTACAACAATGAACAAATAAATAACAGGTTTAAGTTACCAGAATTACAGAATTTTTACATTTAAAGGACCTTAGAGATGATCTGATCCTGTGTTCCACTTCTTTGAGGATCATCTTCATGGTCTTTGCCTTATTCACTTGTACTAGTCCTTAATTTTTGTTAAGTGCTTAATAATTTTTACACAAATATATTTTAGTTTTGACCTGAAAAACAGCATCTTTGAAGACATCAATCAGATACGATGGTTTTACTTTTCTACTACACATCAAAATAAACACAATCCAGGTGTGGTAGCTCACGTCTGTAATCCCAGCAGTTTGGGAGGCTGACGTGGGTGGATTGCTTGAGCTCAGGAGTTCGAGGTCAGCCTGGGCAACATGGAGAGACCCCATCTCTACCAAAAAAAAAAAAAAAAAAAAAATTAGCCAGGCATGGTGGTACATGCCTGTAGTTCCAGCTACTTGGTAAGAGGATTGCTTGAGCCCAGGAGGTCAAGGCTGCAGTGAGCTGAGATTGTGCCACTGCACTCCAGTCTGGGTAACAGAGCAAGACCACCTTAAAAAATAAAAATAAAAATAAAATAAAATAAACATATAAGTATTCAATTTTTGTTTAAGGTGTGTCTTCTCTAAAATGTCTTGTTTATTAATACTAATGATACATAGTCCATGCTTTGATAAACACTGATCTGGTTTAAATTGACTCATTTTACCATTAAGAATCTGAGCCATAAGCAGAACTCAGATTTTCTAACTTTCAATTCGCTTATCTTTCCACCCACTTAATTTTGCAAGCTACAATATACCTGCACTTGGAGAATAAAAATAATTTTAAAAATGACAAAATACTGGCAAATCAATCACCTAACTCTGGCAAATGTTAATATCTAGAGAGACTGTCCAAAATTATTGGAACTAGTTGTCAAAAATATCCAAGTTTCAGTGCTCTCTATCCAGTATCTAGTCATGGATAATTTACATGGAAGTGAAGTAACGAATTCTCCCAAACTAAATAAGTCTCCTAAGTTTACCAAAACAAAACAAAACAAAAGTCTCCTAAATGAAAAAAAAAAAAAAGGATATTACAGGGAGTGAACAATACAGAAGTCTGATTTTTAAAATACTGATAAAGATATAAAGGTTCCTCATTCTCAAGGATCTCACGTCACATGTACATATGGATTTTGCTTCCACATACAGGTCTCTTCAGAAGGACTACTTCAGTTGACTGATGAGTCTCATTAGAAAGAGCCCTGGCTGTGGAATCCAGTGGCTTTTGTGCTTTTACTACGTATATCATCAATAAACTGTGTGACCCTGGGCAAGTCACTTCCCCTCTTCTAGCCTCTGTCCCTCGAGTGTGAAAAGAAGGGCAAGACCAAATGACCCCAAAGTTCCATGATTAGCCACACAGTTTATACACCACTACTTACTGATGAAAGACCAGAAACAATTCAGGTTCTGAAGTCACTTCAAGCATGTTCTTTCTCTTTGCAATTTTATTTTATGCTTTCCCAGACAATGCAAAGATAAATGTCATCCAGATCTATCCACATATAATCAGAATTAGCAAGACTTCACATAAAGAGAAGTGAAATTGCAATTTATGACTATAGACTGAGCTTCTAGGTGTATCTACTCCAAAAGAGAACAAAGAAGCCAGAATTCCAGTTATAACAACAAAACAAAAATGACAGGATATGTGATTGAACTAAGGCGTTCCATAAACGGCATTGTTCTTATTTTTTGTTTTTTGTTTTTTTAACTATGAGCTGGTAAAATTATCTTAGTTTAGCCGTCATGTCCCAGAACAGTAATGGTGCTGAAACACAGTAAGCAGAACAGAACCAGATGTATAAATATATTCACATTTGTACCACAGGCACTGCTTTCCTTTAACTGCTGAACTGCTGTATCAACACTGTTCTATCACCAACTAATTATAGCTAACAAAGCCCACTGCATGGAGTGTGTCTCCTCTATTTTTTCCTCTTACAAAAGTACAGTGCCGACATTCAATGAATGTTAAGTGGTAACAATTTAATTCTTTGAGCACTGCATGCAATATGAATTCATGGTCCTTCTCCTAGTGCCATCTGAGGTGTTTTTATGTCCATCAGGCTAACTACTGTGTCGGCCACTGAAACCTCTCAGATGACATATCGCTGGGTCATAAATATCCCACTGGAGATGTATTGTCCAGGGTTAAACGTTTCCCTCCCTTCTAACATGGCAATCACGTTAATCAGCTTAAAATTCTGGGTAATGGCCTTGCATTTGAGAAAAAAAGGCATGTGATACTGTACGGAATGCCCATTATTCCACACAGTATGTTGATCTGGCAGTAGATCAATAACCATGTCTTAAGCACCTACCTGTGTACCAGGTACCCTGGTAAGTATAAGGAAGACAAAGAAGCAATAAAGATGATTCCCTCAAGGATTCTGCCAATTTACTGTTCAACAAATGCTTATGAACATGCCTGGCAAGTGCTCTGTCATCTAGTCATTTCACAAGCATTTATTGAGCACCTTTTATGGGCCACAGACTGTACTAGTTTGCTGGAGAGACAGCTACCAGCAAGTCTGAGATGGTCCATGTGATATGTAAATAGGTGATTTATGAAATAATGTGCTAAGTGTTATAATTAAGAATGTTTGAGGGGCTATGGAGTAAAGGAAAAAATATCCAGCACTGCCTATGGGCTAGGAAGAAGGACAGGTAACACTGCAGTGGGCAGAGAACACAAGATAGTATGTCGATTTCAAATGCATGAGACAAAGGATTGGTACTATTAGGAGCTCAGAAAAAAAGAGGCATGAGAGTGGCCTGAAGCTGGGACCTCAGGTGGAATTAAAATAAGCACAAGACTTGGAAACTCAGGAAGAAGGGCATCTAGAGAACTACTAAGAGTGGTGTGAAAGCACTTAGCATGTTCAGGGACCTGTGAGTAAACAAGCATGGCAGAAGCAAAGTCACTATGACGGTGAGCAGCAGAAGACTTGAAAGGCCGACAGGATTAGGGTCTGAACTTCAGGGAACCAGACTATGGGGCTTGAACCTGGAGGGCATGGAAAACATCTTTCTCCCTCTACCCAGTAAGAGGAACAGAGGGCCACAGGCAAAGCTGAATTTTAGGAAAAGTGGGGTTGCTCCCTACAGGATGGGAGGTGGGGAGATTCTTGAGGAAAGGTTGGTTTGTAATTTATTGCTAAGAATCTAGGCATATTGTGATAAAACCAAATCCATTTGAGAAGAAAATACAAAGGACAGAATGTGAAGGAAAGGCAAGAGAAAATTGTTGGTTATCGTAAACAGAAACCATCATGATAATCACATAAATGTCTACTGTAAGGAAGAACTGGGGAAGTAGTCAAAAATGAACTACAACATCCTACACCGAGTCTCTCGTAGCTCTATCTTATAGCCAGCTATACCACTGATCAGGACACTAACATCATTTTTTGGCTGAATAGAGTAATACTGATGATGATGAGGATGATGATGATGATGATGATGATGATGATGAGTAATGGCAGCAGTTTTCATTTAGAAGCCAGGCACTGTGCAGGGCACTTTACATGGATCATTTTCATTTGGCCCTTATGGCGACAGGCTCTTCTTCCCATTTGACACACAAAGACTGTGAGACTCAGACTAATCAATTATGGCAAAGGTACAGGAATAGGAGGTGACTCTGCCCCAGTGTGACTGCTCAATGTCTGCTTTACTCCAGCTTCTGCAATCTCTTCTTACACAAAACAGCACACAGAGATCTAAGAGCAGATTCTGTTCTAAAATGGGACACATAGTTTTAGGCATGACTGATTTTTTTTTTTTTTTTTTAAGACAGAGTCTCGCTCTTGTCGCCCAGGCTAGAGTGCAGTGGCACGATCTTGGCTCACTGCAACCTCCACCTCCCAGGTTCAAGCTATTCTTTTGCCTCAGCCTCCCGAGTAGCTGGGATTACAGGCGTCTGCCACCACGCCATGTTGGCCAGGCTGGTCTTGAACTTGTGACTTCTAGTGATCTGCCTGCCTTGGCCTCCAAAAGTGCTGGGATTACAGGCATGAGTCACTGGGCCTGGCCACAACTGATTCTTAAAAAGTAAGTTTATCAATTCAACCCAAAGTTCGGAAAAAACAATAGTGACATGCTTAAAACTATTATTTTAAAATCATAATTGTAAAATCAATCATTACAACATCATGAACAAAATGCGGATTATTTCCAAACACTGCCCAGCCTCAAACATGTCTTCACCTAGCTCACTCCAGGAGAAAGAACATTAAGAGCCATCAAACACAGGAACTTGTTTTTTTAAAGCTGTAGGGAAGAGAGTTGGGAGTGGCGTTTACCGGGAGCATTAACTGACCCTAACTGACTCTACAAGATTTCTTTTGTATT